ATACTACTAAAACGTTCTTTCAAGAATACCACTAGTCCGTTTGTTTTCAGTATACTACTAATACGTTCTTTCAAGAATACTACTAGTCCGTTTGTTTTCAGTATACCACTAATACGTTCTTTCAAGAATACTACTAGTCCGTTTTTTTAAAGTATACTGCTACTCCGTTTTTTATTAGTTCATTGCTAATTCGATTATTATAAGTATTCTACAAATCTGATTTTATTCATTTCATTGATCTTACCTGATATGTATGCACATATGGCGTATGAAGTTGTGGTCAGTATCCTACCCACCATCAGAGATCTTCTATACGGTGTCCGCCTCACTCTATACATCATTTGTCTATGCGATACTTCCGATGGTTCTGAGTGGGGCGTGATCCGTTCACTTTCTGTGACACGAGCTGATACAATCCATTTGCATTGCCAACTAACATCACAATCAAATATCTTGCCATATCAAGCATCTCCGCTCGAAGAACATTCGTTCGTAAGGACGAAGCTTTGTGGACCGAGTTTGGATGGGTATCCATGTTTCTCTATCAAAGTGCGTGCTCACCCATATATCTCACCGGCGTGTATATTTTTGTTTCATCGGCTACAGCCGGCGCCACGACGCCCACACCAGTCGTCACAGCATTGCCAGTCAGCGCAGTAGAAGTACAGGGCGGAGTCAATTCGGCGGCACGGGCAATACAAGGCATGGGCAACAAATTTGGTCTGGATAGTGTGGACGATATGGTCGATCATTCTCTGGCCGAAAACATTGTTGAGGTATGCAAAAGCAATGCAAAAGCAATGCAAAAGTGATGCAAAAGCAATTCCAAAGCTACAAAAAAACAGCACTTTGGACGCTAACTTATGGGGTTGATACGCATCCTGCGAGTTTCGGGAGAAAGATGACTTTCCGAGCGGCACAGTGTGATGTTTTCGTGCAGTCGTGGCCTTGTAGCTCTACCGTTACTGAAGCCTGAAAGACAACTCGTGAATGGCTGCTGCATATGCTAGTAGGCTAGTACATTCATGCGGTTGTTAGCCTCACATGACTAGTCCTGCGGATTAGAATGAAGCCGTTTGCAATGCGGATGTATAACATATATATATAGCTATTCGGGTCTAACACGCCATCCGTCTCTACACACTCAGGATTTCGGCTTCTCGATCGAAGACTTCTCCGTTGCAGTGGTTGTCAACTCACCGTCCGACCGGAGTGCCACCAACACCGCCACATCCAACACCACCACCATATATGCTGCACTACACGCAGCCCAACAGCGGGGCGCAGCTAACCGAGTCCCAGGTACAGCCGGCGCTAATACGAATGAGATAACTGTTGTGGGTGCGATGAGGATCGATGCCAATGCTACGGCCAGCGCGATCGTGAGCGATACGAATCAGTTGGGAGTTGCAGGGCCTGTGAGCCAGTTGCACAGGTCGAAAAGCGGTTCAAGGATAGTTAGCAGCTCGAATGGGAATTTGTCAGAGGTGGCATCGCCTTCGCCTCTTCGGTACGTTTGATGGCGGGTTGCTTCTGCTTCTCCGGGGTTGTTGGCTGGACTGTTTTGCCTATTACTTTTAATATTAAATAGTGATGCTCATTGGTACAGATAGCCGACTACATACTTTGTTGTGCTTGGTGCGCTTACTTGTCCACAAGATGTACCTGGTTGCGGCCATTTAAGATTGTTTTTGTTTGTAAACACACCTCGATAGCATGCGGCTACATACCTATTGTGTACGTGTATATCAAAGATGATTTTTGTATATACTATAGTCGAGGGCGGCGATATATATATTTTATGATCAGTATATTTTTGTGCTATTGTGTAGAAAATGTTGGACTTTGTCGAAAGTATTACAAAAGTATATTAGCAATATCTGTACTATCTCCATTGTACAAATCTCTGATGCTGAAGTCCATCATGATGTTCACCTTTTCCCTGCTGTCGTCTTCCTTAGGAATTCAAAATCTGCGATACATCTCTCCGAGTCGAAATCTCAAGGTACATCGGACTCAGCAGTAAAGCTTAAACAAGAAGATTCCAAGGGAACTATAAATATATCAGCGCAGACCTGAGTAATGAAGCGATTTAGTACTTCAAAGGATGTAATAAAAGTCATTTTAAGTACTTGTGGGACTTTTTATAAATTTTTATTTCGAAGTGCTTTCATAGTGAACAGAAAGGCAGGCACACTATTGTATTATACTCATGAGGATCTGTGGCCTATATTAACGTCAGCACCACAGGTAATTCCGCGGAGTACATGTAAATAATTATGTGCATTCGTGAGTGCTGAAAGTTTCTAAAACACACAAACACACGCACACACACACACGTACACACACACACGTATATATATATAAATATATATATACACACAAACACACATACATATATATATATATATATATATACATGCACACATATACATACATATACACACACGTATACACACGACGCACTCATATATACATACATATATACATACATACATACATACATATATATATATATATATATATATATATATATTATTATATACATATATANATATATA